TTTTTTTGAGACAGACTTTTGCTAAGTTGCCCAGGCTGATTTTGAACTTGGAATCAACCTGCCTCAGCCTTCCAGGTAGCTGGGAATACATGCATGTACCACAGTACTCGGCTGTTGCAGGTATTTTTATATTTTATTTTTTTCTATAGTGAAGATTGAAACCAGAGCCTCACATATGCTAGGTAAGCATTTTACCACTAAGCTACACCTAATCCCTGTTTCAGGTATTTTATTAGAAAATTTTAGGATAGATGTCAGAGAAATTTAGCAAATGCTATTGACTGAAACTTGCTTTATATTTTCCCATGAGTTTTAGTTTGATTTTTACAATCAAGCCTACTTCTTGCAATTAAGATCTCAATCTGAAATGCAGCTGTTTCAGCCACAGGTCCTAATTTGCCTTTATTTAAGTATCAAATTCATTGGAGAGAGCAGTGTCTTTTGCATATGGCCTCTTACCTCAGGGAAGATGACTTGCTAGCAACTCACATACTACTACTAATAGATTTTTGAGAATTACACTGATTATCACATGTTAGCTACTAGATGCAAAATTTATAACAGTATCATTTTATGTAGTTACCTACTAATACTCCTAGTGAACATATCTCTAAATATTTAGACCTCGCTAATAACTACCCTTTAGGTATAAACCTGTAACTTGTATCATCAATTCTCTTTCACTGGTCAATGTAGAAATAATATCATAAGAGTTTATTTCAGATTATTAATACAGTTTTGTTCTCATTTTAAACAGTAATTTTAATTAGCCTGTACTTAAAATATTGCAGGGCAGATTTTGAGAGTTTCATGGTTCTCAAAGCAAGATTTCCATCTTAAGATTTTCATAAAAGAAAAAAGCCTTTGCAAACTGCTTTAAATTCCACTCAATATGAATTTAAAATGACCTTTTATAATAGTAGTAGATACTAAGTAAGTTGGGTACACATATTCTATTTTTTAAGGTTATCATAATTTAACAAAATTGCACAACCTTGAGACTATTCACAATAATTTTTCAAACCAGAATTACTCATGAAAACATACCATAGTAAAATATATATTGAAGGATTAAAATAACAGGGAAGAATCATCACCAGTGTTAATTGCAAGTTCTACCATTCTTGATAATTCTTTGGGATGCTAAGTGTTTCAATTCAATTTAATTAATGATACTTAAATCGTGGGAATTTTAACATTTGTTCCAAAATAGCAGAAATTGTTTTAAAAAATTGTGAATTATTGAAGAAAATGCCATTGTATATCTGACATTTAAATTTTTTAATTATGAAGTCTACATGCTTTTGTAGTATAATATTAATACAATGATTATTATCTTGTAAAAGAAAAGGAAAACTAGTAAAGAAAAAAGTTATAGTTGATATTACCTGCTTGTGAGTATCAATTACTTAGTATTTTAAATTTTAAAGTATTGCATACTTTTTTTTGGATTGCAGAAATCCCTTTCTGAGCCTTTATGCCTGTGGTAGAGCAATAAAAGACTGAAAAGGCTATCAGTATTTTCAGGTTCATTTTACTTTAAAGAATTAGTGTTAAGAACTGGAGAGTCTTTCTTTTTAGAGGGAAATGCTATTTAGAATATTTATAAATAAGCAGTACTCGTAAATATCTAGGAAAAAAATAGCAAGTGCTTTAACTGCTCAGTAAAATAGTCTAGATGTTATGTTATACTTAAGGCACTAGCTGTTACCTATTACTTTCTGATTTTGTGATTGCTGTATACATTACATTTGAGTAATGAATATTTGGTAATAGTGTATTATAACAGTATATAGTGTTCTACAGCACACCTCATTGTACAGAATTTGAAGTTTTCTTTTATATCAATAATAAAACTATAAGTTAATACATACTGATTTTCCCCTAACTTCTCCACATTAGCATTTTAAAGTAATATTTTATTCCTAAATTACTTGGAATTACACCTTAAAATTATAATGCATGAGCAAATAGTTGAGTTTTACAAAGAAATTCTTAAGTGTATTAAGGTTTTTTTTAAATTTCTTCAAGTGACTTATTATAATACCCCAATGCAGATTTCAAAGCTAA